ACTGCCCTAAACACTCATTATTTTATACCCTAAACCCTAAACCCTAGACCCTAAACCCTAAGCCCCTAAACCCCTGAACCCCTGAACCCTAGACCCTAAACCCTAAGCCCCTAAGCCCCTAAACCCCTGAACCCTAAACCCTAAACCCTAAACCCCTAAACCCCTAAAACCCTAAACCCTAAACCCCTAATAGCGGGTACTTAGACCGCAGTAGCGAGTAGTTGAAGGGTCTAGGGTGAAGCCAGACCACAAGTTGCCGATCGGCTTTTTGTTTAGGTTTGAGGGGATTCGGGGTTCAGGGTTTAGGGGTTTAGGGTTTAGGGGTTTAGGGGCTTAGGGGTTTAGAGGTTGGGGGTGTAGAATTTGGAGTATAGGGGTTTAGGGTTTGGGTTTAGGGTGATTTGGTTCAACAGGTTCGATGCTCGGGGTGAGGGCTACTTTGAGGGACCCAGGAATTAGGAAAAATATTCTATGCCCCCCATATACACAGGCTACGCGTGCTGTAGCCCACTAGAAGTATGTTGCCTAACCAGCTAGTAACTCCAGGGTCTCTCAAATTAGGTGCTGTATCCCCCCTAAACCCTATACCCTAGACCCTAAAGTCCTTGGGCTACAGATAGTATATACTTATATAGGGTCTTAAAGACAGGAACCCAATATATAGGTAACTGGGCTTCTAGGGTTGCCTAAACGCTATACCCTAGACCCTAAACCCTGAACCCTACGAGAACCGTGGTAGAGTATAGGGGTCTAGGGATGGCGTCCCACAAGATTGCATGAAGCCACTTGGAGGGTCAGGGGGACTTAGTAAGTAGGTTAAGAACCCCTATAACCCATATAGTAACCCCACTTATCCCCAGTATTCACCTACTTAGTAAGTCCACCTGACCCTCCAAGCAGTAGAGTGTAGGCGGGTTTAGGGCTAGTTATCGCCCAGCCTTCGCAGCAACCACCACGCCAAGGCCAATGCCGCACCAAGCGCGGCAACCGCCAGCGGCACCAGCATTTAGGTTAACAAGTGCTGGAGTGGATGATGGAAATGATTTTGGCACTTTTGCGGAAGATTGAGTTTAGGCTTGGGGGTGGAGGGTTCAGGGTGGACATGAGAGCTGGAATTTCTTGCAATCATCAACACCTGGTGCTGTGTCTGGATAACTATGCAATAAAAAATAGTTCCTATTTGGGACTTCCCAAATCCTGTTGTTTTAGAAGCCTCTCTGTGCAATTGCCCAGATCTGCATAGTTGATTGCAAGTCCTGAACATGAAAATTGAGAAAACAACCGCTTAGGAGAATCTTTGGGGTGAGGGATTGCAAGTTTAGGCCTTAGGCCTTAAGGGTTTAGGGTTTAAGGGTTGAGGCGGTTGAGGGCTGTCACTCCCCCCTTGCCTCCACTTTTATCTCTCTCCTGTGTCCTTGAGACAACACGAACTCTGAGCCTTAAGAGCTCTCGCATGGTCAAATGGGTGTAGGCGGGCCCCGAGCATGTTTTGCCGTAGGACATTTTCGCTGGAATAATACTTGCTGGCACCCACCAAAATACCCATGAGCAAAAACACAGTCATGCACCCTCGGAGAACAGACGCTTCCTGGTGGAAAGGCCGATGGGGCTGGATAACAAAATAAAAAATGAAGCAATTGCTGCGGCCTATATGAAGGTAGATGGTCATCCAATGTCTTGCAAGCTCCCTGCCGCGGCTACGGGACCGAAAAAAGAAAAACAATCGGCAGGAATCTTTGCCTCAAGTGCTCGACAACCGCTTCCCACGGCCCACGATCGCGTGGGTTTAGCAAAGCTCGTGTCTATCCTTCTTTGCCGATGTCCTAGAATTCATCGGCCTGCCTTTGATCCCAAGAGTAATGCATCTCCATTGTGCGCCCGTCAAGAAGCAGTCAGCTCAAGGGTCTTATATAGAGGAAAATGGAAAAGAAAATGGAAACTGCTACAATGGGGTGTATATTTCTATAAAAATATACATATGTATACATGTCTTATATAGAGGAAAATGGAAAAGAAAATGGAAACTGCTTTAGTAGGGTGTGTGTATATATATATACACATATGTATAAAGGTCTTGTATACGGATAATGGAAAAGAAAATGGAAATCGCTATAATAAGGTATATATATATATACATACATACACATATAGGGGTATGTAGTGGCAATGGAAAAGAAAATGTATAGAACAGCTATGTTATACTGTTGATGGATGAACTCCACCTTAAGTCCCCCAAAAAGTAGTTTAGGGGCTCTAAGTGGTGCAAGATTTCCTCCATCATCAGTATATCCCTTTAAACCCTAAACCCTAATCCCTAAACCCTAAACCCAACCCGTAGGAATTATAGAGGGACTCCTGAAGTCCAAGCCGGAGCCTAAACCTTGGAAGCTAAGTAGCTAACACCCTCGAGCTGATTCCTTCTAAGCCCCTAATATACTATATATATATATATATCCCATTATAATAATCCAAACCCTATCTATATATATATATACATATATATATATCCTATTATAATGCAAACCCTATCTATATATATATATATCCTACTATAATATAACCCCAATGTAACCCCCATTGCCCGCACGTTGGACTCATGTCCGCCTTTGCTGCATCTTTGGCAGTGAGAAGTCTGTTTCCTGAACGAGGGCTAGGATCCATGGGAGTTAGGAGCTTAGGGTTTAAGGTTTAGGGCTTAGGGCTTAGGATACAGGGGTTATATCGGGATAATGGAGAAATGGAACCTACTGTGTTATGGGGGTTTCAATCCTTCCCCGTGCACTGTTGGAGCAAAAGACGTAACAACGATGATGTTTGTGCGGAGATAATGCAAGATGAGAAGCGGAGACTGGCATTGGGAACAGGGTTGGGGATTCGGGATTGGGTTATAGTCCCCCTTAAGTAGATAGAATATGGGGTATATGGGCATCTTATTATAATATGCCCAAAGCCATATTCTATCTACTTAAGGGAGACTATATGCAGTGGCAAGTGTTCACTTTCGGTGGGCCTTTGGGGTGGCAAGATTTCGAGGAATGCCGGTGGAAAGGCTTCGAAGTACTCGCGTATTGGGATTGTTGGGGCAAAATTTCGCTGCTTCATTATAAGAGGCCTGGCTAGAACGACCGGCCA